TATATATATATATATAATCTTGCACATTAAAATATGAACACAAGTTCACTTGATTCTCTATGATTCGCATTGCAACATGGACACTCTCAAGTGAGACACACACACACACACACACACTCTCTCTCGCTATGTCAATTTTGTTTCTCTCTTACTCTTAAACAGTCCAAAGACTGCTATAGTTTAGTGTACAATAGTTTTACAAATTCCTGGCAAGGTTTGTGCCTCAAAATAAGTGAACACACCGATTATATATCAGAAAATCAGGCGACTATGAGATGTTAAAAGACAAAATGTAACTGTGGGATAAATGTAGGAATGAAAGATCTCGAAATATTGAATTGTGGGGAATATTAGGCAGTGAACCGTGGATGATTATAAAGCTGATGCAGCCAGCAGAGGCCCGGGGCAGTGTCAGCTGTGCCAGCCAATATCCCCTCCGTAGACACAGGGCAGGAAGTATTAGTATAAGGACAATGCAGATTTACACGGAAACACTCACTTATGTTCGCATGTTGCTGCCCATACATATGTAAACCCTTTATATGCACAGAATTCTGGAGCTGCTTCACGTTCATATTCAGAGGCAACAGCTCAGGAACATGCTATCGGTGTAAATTTTGACACAAGGCGAATCTATTTGACAAAAAAAGTGTGTGTACACTGTAATAATACACGTATGGTATTAGCACAAGAGTTTGCCGGCCTTGCTAGAGGTTTTCAGCAGTGCTCAAAGCTTCAGAGTGATTTATTATGGGGTCCTGGCCACCGAGGCAAAAGACCAGTCCCTCTCTTACCTTTGGATCGATTTTCTTAAAGTTGGGATCATCTTCATCCACCTCAAAGTAAAGCTCAAAGGATGTGACGGACAGGGTACCCTTCATCACAATGGAGGGAGCTATTAATTGAGCAGGAGTGCTCAGGCTCACCGGACCTGCCAAGAAATAATTGTGTGAGACCCCTAGAGCAGAACTCCCATTCATTTCACAATACAGAGCCACAAAAGCAGACACTAGTGTGTAACCATGTGTGTTGCTACTACACTGAGCACAATACAGTATACCCACGTCCATAAATTGATACATCAACCTTAATATTTAATTTGCTGTTCATTAATTTGAGCATGGGCAGTGTTGTCACATACTGGCCTATTTAAGCCATATGGGTTGACTAAGGCAGGGCAGAGTGGCAACCTGATTCCTCATGGTCCATTTGTGCAAAGGGCAGCAGGCTTGGAGGTGTTGCCCACAGCAACCAATCAGCTCTCATCTATCAAATTGGAAAGTAAAACAAATAATGCAACTGGTTGTTTCGGACAGCATCAGCACCACTGTCACCTCAGCCTTCATAAATAACCAGCCATGCTGCATGTTCCCTGAGCAAGTTAAAAAATGAAAGCTGAAACCTGATTGGTTACTAGGGAGAACATGACTATTTTTCTATTTATAAGTCTGGTGTGCACTGCAGAAATCATGATGTCAGTGCATGTATTTGTCTCTGTTAAGGCATTCATGGTTCTATGTGTATGATGTTAGCTGAATACTGAGCATCACATATGCAGCCTGAGGGTTGTGGGGCTCTTTCCAACTCGTCGCATTCACATTAAAATAATGACATTACACCGGCCTCCTTTCTATGGAGGAGGCTGCATTACCCATTCTATCCAATTTACATACAGAAAGCCTCCAATATTGCAACATCCATCGATCCGCAACTGGATACTTCAGTGCCATCACTTCTGCATTGAAACAATCTCTTTATTCAGTGCCTGAGTGACATGGAAATTCTGGATTAATATAGTGCTGGGGGATGAGGAGCACGGGCCAGGTAATGATTTTGGTGAATTACTGCCAAAAAATTTCAGATGAATTGTCATTTCCATCGATTGGTAGACGGGTGAGTGTCTTTAATCTGCCATCAATCTTCATGTGTGCCATTTGGACAATGAGGAAGATGCTCTGCTGAGATTAGAGCAGCCTCTGCCCTCTATTCCCTGTGTACAGATACATTGTGTTTGCAGATGGGCAGCAGATAGCTACAAGAGCTGCCTTGATTTCCCAGCGCTCGGCCTCACAAATGAATGAAATAAGCAGCCCTGTGTTCTTTTGCACCCTGAGCATTAGCATGTAATCCAGAGGCGAAATAACATTTTTCCAATCACTCCCCGACATTCAATTACAGCAGGGAGAGGGCAGCCTGGTCCAGGAGGGGAGGGGGCAGACAATTTACACTTCATTTCCAAGCCACATCACTTTATTATTGAGGATTACCTCTTAATCCTATTGCCATTGTCAGGATTATGTAATTAAACCCCTGTCACCTCTATTACAGTATCATTGTATTCCTCTCAAGTGGAAGATAATGTCAGATCATTTTTTTGGATGCATCTCAACCCCTTCCAAATTCTCCCCAACCCTCTGTTAATCCAGTAAATTAAGTTTAAACATATTTTAAAAATATGACTTATTGCTATTATCAGATGGCGTTTCAGACTTTCAGCTAAATCCCTGTAGTTGCACTGCTCTAGAGCTCAGTGTAACCCTTCCCGGAGTATTTATTCCCCATCGGTTTTAGATGTGTTATAGAGATCAGCTCACCCTGACCCCTAAATAAATCCGTGCATATTATCATTCATATGTAAAGGTTTAACTCCTCTCATTTGTAAAGTTAGATCCCTTACAGGCCACACACCTTTTATTTCCACCAGAAGACCCTCCCTTGCAGCATTCGCGTTTAGTTTTACTAGTTATAGGCACTAGGAGTGACTATTACATACCACAACATTCTAAAATGGCTTCCCTGGTTTATTAGAAGAAGTCTGATCCTCCATATTCCTGACATGCCGATCCTCCTCCTCCCATCACATCATGTTCTCTGTTTTCTAACCTAGCAAGCTGGAATATGCTACACACGTTTAAATTCAGATATACATAAATAATCTGTATGTGTGTGTGATATATACACACACATATATATATATATATACACATCTATACACACTATGTAACGAAGCAGGGGAAAAGGTGGCATCTTTATGCTGCCACATAGAAAGGTGCCCATAATTAACGTAGATAGCACTTCAGTTAATAGATACATTAGAAATGTGGATCTCTAAACAGAGCAAATGATCAGAAAATAAAGAAGGCTTATTGGAGAAAAAAAAAAAATGACAGAGCCCTGGTACTGCTGCAGTAAAGTAATCTTTTTTTGGCTGCTCTGGACTCTGCATCCTCATAGTTATGAAATTATACCTTCAGAGAGATGCAAATTATATATATGTGTTCTTTTATGGACTTGAGTCCAGTACAAGAGCAGCAATAACTGTGTAAAAGGGAAATATGACAATTTCAGCACACACTATATTCCAGTTTAGACTTCTGAATTTCACTTTAGTGTCAAGTCTGGGGTTCATTCCTTTTGTAGATTTGAATTCAGAGTGTGTACTTCCAGAGTATTAATAATAAGCAATAACTCAAAACAGATTAAATGATTATCAATATTCTTATTGTCAGAGGCTTGGAGTGTTGCAGATGACATTACAGAATACACAGAATTCAAGGCTCTGGCAGGACTGTATTTAAAGTTGTTGCTGTCTTGGGCATTGTGAAATGAACATAGTCTACTTTAGTGGCAGTGCTCTCCACATGCTCATGACCTTCTGTTCGAAACTGCCTGAAGGTGAAAGTGGAATGTGGCATCTTGTGTAAAAAAAATAATCAGGAAAGGATGTCAGCATGTTATTAAACAGGATCAGAGAATTGGTCGGCAGCTTGTAGAGCACAATCACTGATGTCTGGCACTTGGCATACAAAGACTCTTGGAGTTCAGGACTGGTCAAGGTGAGTAGAAATCAGTGTTTAAATGTCATGTAAGATGGTTAAAAGAACAACATTTATTTCGAAATGGCTAAAAACAAAGCATATACCAGACAGAGACAAGTAGTGAATGAAGGGATTTTCTATCAATAAGATGAGGTTTCAGTTTACCTGTCATATTTTCAAGGTCCTTCTCCTCCAGTGATGACAAAGTGTCATCATCCCCTTCCAAAAGGCTATCGCTCTCTGTGTTCTGCCCTCCTAGAACTTGGCTCTTGATGGATTGTTTTCCTCTCACAAGGGCATCTTCTTCTGGATCTACAAGTATGTAACAAGTAAAGTGATACTCATCAAGTTTAAAGTCATACTAAGGGATACAACAAATCCTTTTTACAACAGGTACACAGAGAAAGTAAACAAAATGAGGTTGAACATCATGTTGGCCTTGATTGTTGTATAACAACCACGCCCTATGAGGATCTACCCAAAGGTAAATACATTGAATTAATTTATTTACTGGCCCTGGCATGGTATAGTTATAGGAAAATGTCAAATGGTTGAAAACAGGGAACCTTCTGCCCTATGCAAATTTTTTTTACACAAAAGTATTTTCTTCAAAGTGTATTTTGCTTACAATGCACAAGTGTGTATATTTTTCACGATTTTGTGAAATAAATAGATCCAGGCTTTTTTTCTTTTCTTTACAGAGCACAGAAATTGTCCGTCCGCTTTCTCAGGGTATATAAATGTCCACCATGCAGTGCACCATATAGATAGGTGTAGGTAGAAGGTACTGTTTCAATCATAAAAGCCAACACGTCAAGAAATATTTCAGTCAATTGCATATAATTGTATTTATAAATAATAAATAAATATAGTATCAGTGTGCAATATGACTTAACTATTTTGATGCTGCATCTTTTTCTGAATTATGAATATTTAAAATGCCTTAATGAGTTAACAAAATCTGTGAGGCCCTAAACATTGTGTACGTTTACAATGCTACTGAAGTACTGGCACCTTCTTCCTGTTAGTACTTTAGTTATTATTCAAAGCTGGTTCTGCATTCCAGTTGAGCCAAGTCAAGAGGAAGCCCCACCTCAGCCCTAACCCCATCATTCAACAGCCCAATGGCAAAGACTTAACTGGCTCCTGAGTTGTTGGCACTGGGCTGCTGAATGGTGGAGATTTAAAGGGGTGTGGCTTATCTGCAGGTGGGTCAGAAGTTGAGGATCTGTAAATTTCCTAAGACCATAATTCAAGTAATGCAGAAACATACGTGAAGAATAACACAGATGAGAAAACTGCTCTTCAGCAGTATTGTTTGCTTCACATGATTACTCTAAAGGAATGTCCTATAATAAAAAGGATAATTAAAAGGAATGGATAAGGGAACAGTTTTAAATAGTTTTACTTTACATATTAAATGTTGTTTAAGTAGATATTATATCCAGTAGATATTCAGAGGCAGGTCTTAAAGTGATTTTTTTTGGGGGGAATCACGACTAAAAGCTGTCATGGCTGAATCTCAGACCACTCTACCTGGCACAGCTGTGGCACTTTCAATTACAGTCAGAACCTGCTACTAAGCCCCGCCCCCACACATTCCTACTGGACCATAGCTCTAGGTTGGGTAACGTCACTAACCAGTATGAATGTGCGAGAGGTAGGAAGGGGCCAGCAAGCTACAGCACTGTTATGAATTGCTAAACGTTAACTGTAAAAACAGCCAGAGATTCAGCTGTGGCAGCAAGATTTTGGATGTTGCTGTATATGGGTATCCCCCTGACAGATCCTGTATTTAAATCAATTACGACTACTACTATTGAAATATTTGACTGCCACACATCAACACATTCTATTCATGATTTGTAATGCGGACTTGAAGATGCATATGAATTAAAGAAGTTTGCAGCATGCTGGAACATCTCTACATCTCAAGTTGTCAACATTTCCCACATTGTTATGCATAATATGACACAACTGAAGTAAAAACAGTCACTTTAAAGAAGAAAAACAAACAAAAAACACATGACTGTGCATTCAGATTGAGGTGCACAAAATCAATCTTGAAATGCATACAATTCATTACAAAATAAAACTTAATTGTTAAAGTATTACTGCTATTCATCAAATGCCACAACACCCTGCAGTTCAACAAAATATTTTCTTTTTTTTTTCACAAGTAATTCTTTTTGACCTTCAATACAGAATGTTTGGAGACCAGATCCCCCAGCAGCCAATAGCTGTTGTTGAAGGCGCTATCAGTACAATACAAAGCAGTCTGTACAAGCCTGTGTTGCAAACTTTCAGTCAAAAGGTGCTAGGAAAAAATGTCCACCCCCCTCGTGAGAACACTTGTCTTTACATAAATAAAACTCCCCAAAGCTACAAGTCTGCCATGAGAGGAGGAGGAGGAGGAGAGCCCCTAATACTGCTAGAAATGAAACACCATTCCAGTTTGTTAAGGTAGCATATGTGCAACATTTTGCAATTGTTCAACCTGAGCCGAGAAACCCCTTGTCATGGAAAATATGCAGCTTATTGATATTTGGAATGGTTTTCCTGTAATTAACTCCCCCTGGAGGATTTTAAGTTAGCAGCAGTGAAATTACCAACATTGCTCTAATACACACCACATGGGCTGGGGCCTTTCACAATTCTCAGTGGCCTAATAGCGCTCTGCTGCAGGACTTTCTTTTCTTTCTTCCAGCAATTAGAGTGCAGCTACCCTGAGCACAAATTAAAGGATAATGATTGTGTTTAGAACTGGCCGTAAAATATCTATAGTTTTAGAAACCAAGTCTAGACTTTGTAGGCTTAATCATCGTTTCAAGAAGATGTCAATGTTTCCTCTCGGAGACTGGAAGCGTCACTTTCTCACACTGCAATCTGCTTAAATACTGCAAATCCCCAGAGCAGCACAGGCCTATACCACTGACCTTACAGCAGCGTATCTGGAGTATGCAATTCTTTGTGAAGTCAGCCACACTGAACCAAAGGATAATTTAAAACTCAGGAGACAATGTAATATAGAAACCATTTTGGGACATTTAATATAATAGAAATATATACATTTAATACAAAGAACAAAACAGACAGTGATCTTTCATGTATTCTTTTCTAAAGGATTAAAATGCATTCAGCATGGAAATAGCTTTAAACATCTCACGTGTGTTATTGCTCATACTGATATATTGAAACATCATCCTCAATCTCCAATCTAGGCCTTGCACATAAGTACTTCAGCTTGTATAATAGCAATATGTAAAACAAGCCTCTGCAAAGCTTTTACCAGTTATAGTTATGTTGCAGTAAACCACAGCATCTTCCCAATCTTATACTCTGTCCCCGATACATTGAGATACTGGCCAGTGCTGCTTGACAAAATCTTCCAAACACGTGTTTTGTACTTTAGATTCCGTTCTATAGAGAATTCAAGTCCAAGATGTGGCAAAGCAAATTCTCCACAGAACTAAATAGAGTGCAGGACGCATTTTTGACAAGAGATTGGTGGCAGTGACACATCGCAGAGCCAATAGTCCATCACAGGAGTGAGCTTGGAGCGGTGGCTACTTTACAACACACACAGGGATCATGGGGAGGAAAATTAGCCACCCTCCAGAAGGAAGGACAGTGTCCGCACCAATTCAGAGTTGATTTGAGTGTCTACAGCTGAGTGATACACAAATAAGAAACATTTCTGTTAATAGTTCAGGTACTTGAATTTCGAAGGTTTGATTCTTGAGTTTAATGTCACTTTAAAGAAGAACTTCAGGCAAAACCTTTATTAACCTCTGCAGTAGGGCTACCCCGTGCCCTACAAGAGTTAACTGCTTGTTTTTAGCACGGTGCAAAAAAACACAAAAAAAGGTTATACTCACCCGAACTGTTGAGCTGGCTCCCTGCTTCTATGGTCTCTGAAGCCTCTCTCTTCCTATGCTACAGCATTGGAATGTTCATCTGTGTCCTCACATCTATCCACAGTGTATAGAATGTGATTTACAGGACGTTAGACCACTGCAACGGAGGGGGAGAGGGGCTGGAAGGGCCGGTCTAAGAGCAAGCCAGCTCAACGGTTAAGGCAAGCAACTTTTTTTTTTAGCACCTAGACAAAAACATGCAGTTAACCCCTTGTAGTGCGGGGTAGTCCCACTGCAAGGGTTAAAAAAAAAAGTTTGTCTGGAGTTCTTCAAGACTGGCAGGGAGTATTTGGTGGGAACAAAACCACCTTTTGGTGCAGCTACATTTTCAGCTGTGTATTTATGTGTAATGCTCTTCTCCAGAAGTGTGGGAAACAATTAGTGTTCAGCAAAACGGAGAACAGACACTGAAAGAAATACAAGAATCTGTTTTGTCCACAAAGTATATTTCAAAATGAATGACACCCCAACTTATTACGCCGTACTTTGTGCGTTACTATGCGCTGCAGTAAGGTGTGAACGGACGTTTATACAGAAAACAATGGTAACTGTAATTTGCATGACTCTCATGACCAATGACATTTGATATATAGCCAACTAATCAGAAAATGACATGAATGAAACAAAGAGATGCAACAGTAATATATATATACACACACACACATACACACACACACATACACAAAAAAACCCCTTACTTTTTCCTTTTTTGCATCATGCATTCTTGGCTTGGCTGTTTTCCCCCCCTTAATGTGATTCAAAGAACAAGCAGGGAAAAGATACATATCCCATTCTGTAATTCTGTACTATGCGTTTCTGTTTTCTTCTGTTTCCTCCCTGACATATTTCATTTTGACAAGTTACAGAGCATGACTATTTCAGTGAAATTGCTATAGAATCATCTACATTTTTTCAGATACTACAGGTACTATTTAACACAGCTGAATTAATTCAGGTCTACAAGCTATTGTTAAATATCAAAACAATCTCCAATCCCCTTTTTAAAAAAATTTATAGCAGATCCATGAAACAAGAAAATAATCTGAAATGTTACTACACATGACGAAACACTGGCACCGTGTTGAACTTCACTCAATTTAAATTAATTTGTTTTATCATTTTACCTATTGTCCTCATTTACTTGCAACAAGAAAGACTATAGGCAGGACTTCAGCCTCTATGTTCATTTTATGCATACTGTACTGGGGAGATGCCCCACTAATGATTCAAAGTATAACCTAACCTAAGTGTACCTAACATGAGCAATTACATATCCGTAACAAGCAGTAAACAAGTTTTTATTTTTATAATTCAAAGTTTTGTTAAAGGTTTTTAGAAATAAGAAACAATTACAGCTATTGAAGCATCAACTGGATAATAAAGGCATCATGGTTA